CCTTTGGATATTTAAAAGGTAGAATGGACAGAATTTGCTAGTAAAATACATTTGGATATTTAAAAGGTAGAATGGACAGAATTTGCTAGTACTAAACATAATAAATTTGATAAAAGGGGTAATGGGGTGATACCTTTGGATATTTAAAAGGTAGAATGGACAGAATTTGCTGGCTGCCTGCCTTACGGAGGCAGTGTAGCACACGGTTATGGGTGTGGCCTTCCTGACCAGACTGATGGGCCACACATCTAAACTTTTCCATTTATTGTGTGACCTTAGACAAGTCACTTCAATGCTCTGAACTCCAGGCTCTATAAGATTGGCTAATTGTCGCCTAACTACATGTTTCTTTTATCAGAGAAATTAAATGACATAATGAATACAATGTGTATTAGATCAGTAAATATATACAGTAACTGAATAGTACTCAAAATTTTTTTAAAAAAGCAATATAGTTAAGTGGTCAGGTTCTAGTCAGACTCAGGTTTAAATCCCTACTCTGCCATTTACTAGCTGTGTGGCCTTGAGAAAGTTACTTAACTTTCCTGTGCCTCAGTTTTAGTATTTATAAGATACCGAAAATAATAGTGCCTCTCATAGTGTTTGGTAAGGAAGACATGAGATAATTCAGGTAAAGTGCCAGCACATTAATTCATTTAAACAAATATTTATTGAGTGTATGTACCAGGCACTATTCTAGGCCCTGAGGATAGATAGACACAGTAATAAATAAAACCAATCAAAACAAAACAAAACCTGCCCTCAGGGAGCTTAACTATATTAAACATCCTGCACATAGGAGTGTTATATATGTTAGAAAGCATCATCCTAAGACAATTTCTGTGGTCCTAATCTAAATTGTTTCTATAAGTTTTATTGTAATAAAAGAGTAACATTCCACAAATATTTATAGAAGTAATAGGAGGACATAAAGGCACAGTCCAAGATAACTCAGACACTGGAAAGACGCCAGAGACTGGGAAGGGGAAACACCAGTTTGAGGAAAGATCCGCTGATAAAGTTATGAATGCATTACCACCCTCTTTTGTCCAGGAAAAGCTATGAGAATGTGCCAACACCTGCCTGAAATCTTCCTAAGAAGGGGTGATTATAGCCTATTTGCTTAAACCACGTTAAAACATTTGGCGAACGACTTGGAAGAAAATAAACATTAGTACCCTCCTTATAAGATAAGGTATGCAAACACCAAAGAGAATCTATTAGTTCAAATGCCTTGACTGTCAACAGAATCCCCGAGGGTTTGAACCTTTGAACAAAGACCTGATTAAGCATGGTGCAGCGTAGCGAGGCCTTGATCCTCCGTTGCTAAGGCAACCAACTCGCCGCCAGCCCCGAAGAGACGGAACCTGAAACCTCAGTGACCCGGGAGGGTGGACACCTTCCTTCTGTTTGTGTACCTGCGTATGTGTTACGGATGGGACTAGGCAGGGCATACAATTGTCCACAGGGATGCTAGATACGTCGCCTCTGTTCTCGGTAGAGGGCGCTACAAAAGCAAGTTCCCCCAGAAACAGCAACACTTCTTTCGCGCCTCACCACCACAAAGACGCCCACGACTTCGTTTCCCAGTTTAGTTAATTCTGGCCGGAAAAGCCCCGCCCTCCCGGGGGTGAAAACAGCCCCTCCTCCCAATAGCTTCTCGCGATCGTTGGACGGAGCGAGCTATTGGCAACTTCCGGCCGCGACCCCTTCAGCTCTTCGGCGATTGGCCCATTTCCACGGTCTGCGCTTAACTTCCTGTTCGGATCCCGGCGTTGCACGTGGGAAGCGGCCTAAGGACGCCGCTGTGAGCCGGGCCTTGTTGGCGTTCGTGTGGTAGCGAGTCACTTCTCCGGGACGAGGGGAGTGCAGCTGCCGGCCTTCTCTGGGGTGAGCGCCGCACGGCTGCAACATGGTGAGCAGGTCTCGTTGTCTCGGGGACGGGGCGCTCTGGTTCTGCTGACGGCCAGGCTGGTTCCTCTGGTGCCAGTGGCTACTGAGGGCGAGGATTGGGAGGGCTGGCCCGGAGGTGCCGGGAGGAGGCTTGCGGCCCTGTGCCCCGGTATGATCACCCTCGCCACTCTGGGCCTACTTTGCAGTTTAGAGTGCGTCTCCCCCAGCCAAGCCTCCGTAGGGAGTGGACCGAGGAGAATGGGTTCCTTTATCCCTTGGGGCCTAGAAACCCGTGAACGCAGGACACAAACGCTCAACCCTGTGCTTCATGCATTCGGAGGAGGGAGAGTTGGCTGGTTTCTCCAGACGCTGGAGTGGCAGTTGTCTGCTCGTCTGTGTTTGCTCTGGGCAAAGGGAACTGGTGGGAGAGTCTAAGGTTGGGCCCAAAAGCAAAATGGCTTAAAAACTGGGATGATGTTTTCTCAGTTTGGCGAGTCAAGTTGGGTAGGGTAGTGAGAGTGTTAAACGAGATGATGGATCTTACTTAACTGTAGCTGTGTTGTCCTGGTTTCATTTAGTTGTGCGACAGCTGTGTAACTTGATTGAAATGGTCTTCCCCAGATTTACCTGTGGCAGCTTGTTTGTCCTTCTGATTCAGCCTGTCAGGGACCTTCTCTGAGCCCACAGTCTGAAGTAACTTTCGGTCATTTGCACATCACTCTTCTTTACTTAAAATCATTTTTTTTTTTTTGGTGATTTGCTTCATAAGCATAGGGACTCTGACCTCATTGCTGTATCCCAGCGCCCATAAGAAGGTTTGGCACAGAGTAAGTGCCATCAGATACACATTGAAGGAAGGTAAGTGCGGATTTTGTTGAACATTGTTGACGTTGCCTACCATAGAAATGTAAGTTTTAGAAATCTGTTGATCCCTCACATAACTTACTGAAGATTCGTATATGGACTGTGGGTTTGTGTGTGTGTTTTTGTTTGTTTGTTTAATGGCTTGTTCTGATTCTGTTCCTTTGAAGCCTCACAGGAAGAAAAAGCCTTTCATAGAGAAGAAGAAAGCTGTGTCTTTTCACCTGGTCCATCGGAGTCAACGAGATCCTTTAGCAGCAGATGAGACTGCACCCCAGAGGGTTCTGTTACCCACACAGAAAGTAGGTCCTGTTCATTAGCCAGTAAGTTTGCAGGTGGACTCTCAGTAGTTTCTAAATAAATTGTTAGCTGCTGTTCTGCAACTACTGTGATCTTTTGGGAAGCAAAATCTATGACTTAAATTTACAGTAAATGTGCCGATTTTTTGGCTTGCATATTGGATTGAGAGGGTAAAGCATCTTTATTGGAGATCTTTAAATGAGCCAATCTTGTACAGTAATAGTAAATATTTACTAAGACAGTTACAATGCTGCATGGTATTATTTAGGGCATATCTCTGCTTTCTTAAGATCCTGTCATTTCAAAACCACAAACAACTGTTTTGTCTCATCATTCATCTCATAAGATGTAAAACATTAGAACTCATGAATTAGCTTCAGAAAATGTCAGGAAGCCTTTAAAAGGTTGATTTGATAATTGTCAAGAGTATAAGTGGCAAATTTGAAAGGAATTCTTGGGGAACATTGGCATATTTAGCTTTTTAGTAAAGCCTGTTTGTGTTGTATGTTGAGAAGTTTCTTTGCATATAAATACAAGAAATTGTACTTGATTTTCAAGGCCCTTTAGTCTGTTAAGCCTCCCAAGTACATGATAAAACAGTGTGTGTGTTTCTTGGCTTGAATTTTTTTTTAATTGAAGTATAGCTAGATATACAATGTTACATTGGTTTCAGGTATACAGCATAGTGATTTGACAAGTCTATACATTACACTGTGCCCACCACAAGTGTAGTTATTGTCTGTCACTATACAATATTATTATAGTACCATTAGCTATATTCCCTCTGCTGTACCTTTTATTTCCATTACTTATTCATTACATAAGTGGAAGCCTGTATCTTCTACTCCCCTCCACCCGTTTTGCCCATCCCTAACCCCACCCCCACCTCTGCCCCCCCCTTCTGACAGCCATCAGTTTTGTTTTCTGTATTTATGGATCTGTTCTTTTTTTTTTTTAAGATTTTATTTATTTGAGAGAGAGCGTGCGCACAAGCCAGAGGGAGAGGGAGAAGCAGACTCCCTGCTTGGGCAGGGTGCCTGACGCAAAGCTCAATCCCGGGACCCTGGGATCATAACCTGAGCTGAAGGCAGACGCTTAACCGACTGAGCCACCCAGGCACCCCTATGGATCTGTTTCTGCTTGTTTTTTTTCGTTTTTTTAGATTCCACATACAAGTGAAATCATATGGTATTTGTCGTTCTCTGACTTACTTCACTGAGCATAATACCCTCTAGGTCCGCCATGTCTCAGATGGCAAGATCTCATTCTTTTTTTATGACTGAGTAATATTACAAATATATTTGTATATAAATGTATACACACTACATCTTCTTTATCCATTCATCTGTTAGTGGACACCTGGGTTGCTTTCATATCTTGGCTGTTGTAAATAATGCTGCAGTACACATAGGAGTCTATATGTTTTTTCAATCTGTTTTCATTTTCTTTGGGTAGATAGTAGTGGAATTACTGGATTGTATACTATTCCTATTTTTAATTTTTTGAGGAACCTCATTCTGTTTTCCACAGTGACATGACCAATTTATATTCCCAGCAACAGTGCACAGGTGTTCCTTTTTTTCCACATCCTCACTGACACTTACTTCTTTTCTCCCTATCTTGTCTTGAATTGTTGCACGGAAATATCTAGTAGAAGCAGGAATTGTTTCCATTCTATTTAAATTTTTTTTTTTGAGTTTGTCAGGAATTCTTTATCTCATTCCTGTCAGCCAAAATGTCCATGTGCCATCTGCGTCCTATTCTGAAAGCTGTGTTCACTGGAAGGTTCCTATGGCTTATGCTTGGCAGAGGTACTAATTAACATTTTGTTTATTATCCTAGATAAATGATGAAGAGAGGCGAGCAGAACAGAGGAAGTATGGCGTGTTCTTTGATGATGACTATGACTATCTGCAACACCTGAAGGAACCATGTGGGCCCTCAGAGCTTATTCCCATAAGTACTTTCAGTGCACCCGACAGAAGAGATGAAAAAGAGGAAACTTTAGTAATTTCAGTAAGACTTCTTATCAATATATTTGGGAGTGAGTGAAGAAACCACTTACAAATCAAGATAAGTGAGGCAAGAGATGGTATCAATTTCAAGAACACAAAAATAGGGCGCCTGGGTGGCTCAGTTGGTTAAGCGACTGCCTTCGGCTCAGGTCATGATCCTGGAGTCCTGGGATCAAGTCCCCGCATCAGGCTCCCTGCTCAGCAGGGAGTCTGCTTCTTCCTCTGACCTTCCCCCCTCTCATGCTCTCTCTATCTCATTCTCTCTCTCAAATAAATAAATAAAATCTTTTAAAAAAAATTTTTTAATAAAAAAAAAATAAGCCATGCCCTAGTGTGTACATGTATGTAGCATCAGTAGAGAGTAGGCTGCCTGTTCTGTGGTGGCAGCTGTCAAAAGTAGGTGCCTTTGGGTGTCTGGGTGGTGCAGTCAGTTAAGCATCTGACTCTTGGTTTTGGCTCAGGTCGTGCTCTCAGGGTTATGAGATCAAGCCTCAATTCAGGCTCTGCGCTGAGTGCAGAACCTGCTTAGGACTTTCTCTCCCCCTCTCACAGGCACGTGTGCACTCTCTCCCTTTCTCAAATCTTTAAAAAAAAAAAAACAACCTTTGACAGGGTTAAAATTTTGATTAATAATTGTGGTCATGTTAGCACCTTTCAGCAGAAGAAAAACAGCTGACATTGTGTATGTTAACAGCTAATCAATATCATAAAGTATCTTCTAAGAACTTAATTTTTGCAGAATGTTCAGATTTTTAACAGTCGTAAAAAGCTGCAGGTTAACCATAAAAGAATAGAAGCAGTAGATTGTAATGAAGTTCCTGTGACTTGTCTCAACTAAAATGCAGTCCACTTTAATATTTTCTTTTAAATACAAATGAGAGCACATATTTATATGAAATTAACACTAAGTTCTGTTTTTCTCCCATTAATGTTAAAGATGTCCATGTCTTACGCCTTTATCTTTTTATTTAGTGTTAGTATACAGTAAATTTTTCTATGAAACTTTGTATTATTTGGCATTTAAGAAAAAAAGATTTATTGGGTTTATTAACAAAAAAGAAGAGCTAAAAAGGGTACCAATTTCTCCCGCTTCTCATTCTCCACTCCTCTCATGGTCTAGGCATTCTTTTTCTCAGGGAAGTGTAATCATAGCTTCTCCAGTCTATAGTTTGTTGCTTACGGGAGGTCAAAAGGGTTAGGTTTCAGGGTATTATCCCAAAGGAAGGTAATGAACGCAGCTGTTACTTCACTTCCTAGGTTGTAGCTCTCTTGTAAGGCTGCATACCCCACTCCTACATCCCTGTCATAACAACCAGCTTCTGTACTCTTCTTTCCCAAGGTGACACTATCAGGAGTAGGGTATAGATCTTAGTGGCTCACCTCCTTCCAAGACACAGGGAGGGGAGAGTGTCCAGTAGTTGTTCAAGTTTATCTTAGGGAGAAAAGTCTTTTTCTTTTTTTTTTTTTTTTAAGATTATTTAGTTGACAGCAAGAGAGGGAACACAAGCAGGGGGAGTGGGAAAGGGAGAAGCAGGCTTCCCACTGAGCAGGGAGCCTGATGTGGGGCTTGATCCCAGGACCCTGGGATCATGACCTGAGCCACCCAAGCACCCCGGGAGAAAAGTCTTAATAAAAAGTTCTAAGATTCTTCTTGCTGAATTGTATTGGCTTTTGAAAGATTAGCTTTTAATCCTTAATTCATTTTCGGTAAAAGTAATCACTATTTAGTTGGCTTTTTAATAGAATAAGGCTCTTTATTGTTATGTTAATCACCAGACATTACATCATTAGTTTTTGATGTAGTGTTCCATTAGAATAAGACTCTTAAATGGACACTTCAGTGATGTTTATAAGGTTGAGTGAATTATGTTTGAAAACAAAAATGCCATCTGTTTTCTGTAGCATGATGAAAAAATGATGAGTCCCATGTGCTTTTTTGACTTTAATTTGTAGGGGCACCTGGGTGGCTCAGTCGTTAAGCTTCTGCCTTTGGCTCAAGTCATGATCCCGGGGTCTTGGGATCAAGCCCCTCATCGGACTCCCTGTTCTTCGGGAGCCTACTTCATCCTCTCCCACTTCCCCTGCTTGTGTTCTCTCTCTGGCTGTCTCTCTCTCTGTCAAATAAATAAATAAAATCTTTAAAAAATAAATAAATCAATAAAATAATTTGTAACAAACCACCCAAATTGAGTAAACCAGAAATATTGAATAAACCCTAGAAACAAAATAAAGCAGTACAGAAGTAGTTCTGTTTAAGCAGCCCAATTGTCACATGAAAGAAAGCAGGTACCGCTGTGGTAGAAAGCAGCTGGGCAAACTCTGAACAGAGTTCAGAACTACTGCAAATAAAAAACCCACTTCTTTTTTTAACTAAACTCTAATTGTGTACGTAATTTTTTTTTTTTTTTTTAATTTGAGAGAATGAGAGAACACGAGAGGGGGGAGGGTCAGAGGGAGAAGCATCAGGGAGTCCGATGTGAGACTCAATCCCAGGACTCCAGGATCATGACTGGAGCCAAAGGCAGTTGCTCAACCACTGAGCCACCCAGGCGCCCCTGTGTACGTGATTCTTTGACTATTTTTCAAGACTTGAAAAAGATCTCCAAAGGTAAATTCACTAAACACAAGCTGATCCTCCCTTTTTTTATAACCTCACAATCCAAAGATAGATAATCACAGAGTATCTTTAAAACAAAGCAAAACAGTGGGGCACCTGGGTGGCTCAGTCGGTTAAGTGTCTGACTCTTGATTTCGACTCAGGTCATGATCTCAGGGTTGTGAGATAGAGCCCCACATTGGGCTCCGAGCTGAGTGTGGAACCTGCTTGGGATTCTCTCTCTCCCTGCTCGTGCATGCGTGCTCTCTCTTTCTCTCTTAAAAACCAAAACCAGCAAAACCAAATCACATATTTTATAATTTTTAAAAAGTAATAATGTGATATACCAAAAATCATTAAATTGTGCACGTCAAGTGGCTGAATTGTATGGTTAATTCTAAGTAAAGCTCTTTTAAAAAAAGGACATTATAGTGGAAAACCAGATCTTTCCTATGCTTATGCCACCGAGAAACACACTTTGGAAGCTAAGTTTGCTGGATGTGCACTCCTGTACGTAGCTTTTTAGTCATGCTCCTCAGAGGTTTCCAATTCCGCATGCTCCCATGAGCCAGTAAGAACATACATCTCAGCTTTGTGCCTGCTGCTAGACTGAGGATGAGGTGGGTGGTGAGGTACAAGAGACAGATGACATGTGGTGACCCTCACATTGGTAACTGGTTGAAAAGATCACACTAAAGCACAAGGACCAGTCAGTCAGATAATGTGCCAGCACATTTGAGGTGCATTGTGTATGGTGTGAAGAATGAAGGGATTTACCCGAAGGAAAGTTCTAGAAGAGTGATCAAGAAGGGCTTCATGGAGGAGGGAGGAACTGAGCTGGGCACTCAAGGGTGGGTTGTACTGAAGACAGGAAGGAAACATTCCAGTCAGAAGGGACATAGGTAGTAGTGTGGATCATAGTGTCTGGCGTATGTGTGCTCCATAAATTACTTTGAATTATTCCATGATGTGAGGAACTGGATGTGATTTACATGGAGGTTATAAAGTAATAAATTTGGATATATGGAATAGTAAGTAAGCCTTGATTTTACAGACTGAAAATCAGGAGTGAAAAATCAAAACCTGTTACAAGTTCAAGAAGGTCACATTATAAAATAATAAAGGAGTTTTAATCTGGAAGTGATATGAAGGTTGGATTAGGTGTGGACTATCTAAACGGTGGTAGTAATCTGTGTGTTAGCCATGAGTAAGATGGTGCCCAAAAGACTGATGTGCAATCTCGGTATACAAGAGAGTTCAAGGGCTATAGAGATGGAGAGAAATGATTTATGACCACCCCAGGATTTAAGATGGCCAGTTCAGAGAAATGCTGTGCCATTACCAGAGATTGGCGTGTTATCTCATTTTAAGAGGGAAAAGATTACATTTTGAAACTTGAGGCATTACAAAACTTGGATTTGAATCCCGGGACCTCAGTTGCCAATTTGAGGCAGGCATGGCATTTGACCTTTCTTAGCTTTTGTTGACTACCGCATGCTGGTATCTCACAAGGATTAAATGGAATAATACGCTGGAGAAGGCTTTGTGAAATATTCCAGGGAAACCGCTTGTGAGAGGATGATGGGATATATAGGTTTCAAATATTTTACTGGAGTACAAGTGAGCGAGAAAGCAGGACTTAGTTGTATTCGTTTTCCTAGGACTGCTGTGACAAATTTACCACACCTTACCACTGGGTGGCTTAAAACAACAGAAATTTATTCTCTCACAGCTCTGGAGGCCAGAAGTCTGAAAGTAAGCTTTCAGCAGTGTTGCTTCCATTGTGGGGGCTCAGGGCAAGAACATTGTCCCTCACCTATCTCCTTGTTTTCGGTGGTTGCCAGCAATCCTTTGTGTTCTTTGGCTTGTAGATCCATTTTTCCAGTCTGCTCTTATCTTCACATGGCTTTCTCCCCCTGTGTATCTTTGTGTCATCATGTGACCTTGTTACAGCGACACACCTATCTTTATGAATTAGGGCCCACTGTAATCCACTGTCACCTCATTTTAACTAATTACATAGGCAAGGATCCTGTTCCCAAATAAGGTCACACTGAGCTGCTGGGTGGACATGAATTTTGTGGGGGACACTTCAACCCAGTATAGTAGGTCAGAAGTACTTCTTAATCTAACATTGTGTAATTTCTCTTTCAAGACCACGGGAATTAAGTTGCCTTCATCAGTATTTGCATCAGAATTTGAGGAAGATGTTGGATTGTTGAATAAAGCAGCTCCTATTTCAGGTGTGCTTGATTTCTTGAACTTTTCAAGTGACTTGATCTGTGTTTAACAAAAAGGAAAGCATAGTAATGATAAAGCTTTTCTCTTTCTAATAAAGTGTTAAAACAGTTGAGATGTCTGAATTCAGATTAGAGGTCATTAGGAAGGGATGAGTGATGGGGTCCTTTTTTTATTGCCATCAAATTCTTAGTCTTTGGAGTTTCTGTTTGCAGAGGAAAGTGGGAAAATTGGTTTTGAAGATCTAGTAGGGGAATTTTAACCTTGACCTAAACTCTTGCAGAGGAAACGATGATATTCACTTAGCCTTAACATACATGTAGACTTAATCTACTTTCAGAATTTCTTCCAAGAGTGTAAGTATTTTATAGAAGTCCATTTTATCATCTTTTCCAGATACACTGAAAAATTGTTTGGGATTTTTGCTATTTGGATTTTTTGCAGTATTAATATTGTATTTTAGAACAACCACAGAAGTGATGTTTGGTATTTTCTCTTGAATTGCCTTAATTATTAACCAGTTTTGCCACGTAACATTCATTCATTTATTCCTTCTGTAGATTTTTGAGTTGCCACTATATGATGGGGTCTTGGGTTAAATCAGATTAAGCATAATCCCTGACCTCAAGGAATTTATCATCAGTTGGGAAGGATAGACAATAAATAGGAAATTACAATTACATTACGAATGAATAAATAATGGTTTAGTTAATAGTGGGCAAAGTGTCCTGGAGAAAATGGTGTCTAAGTTGATTTCTTAGGTAGAAGTTAGGTAGGTGGGTAAAGGAGGGTGGGGTGGGGAGGAGAGGCTATTTCAAACAGGAAACTATTTGCAAAATTGAGAGAACATGAATAGGAAACCACATTTTAGCATGCCTAGAATGTGAATGGTAAGAATTAACATGAAATGAGTCTGGAGAGTCAAGCAGTGGCCATGTTATGAGGGATGTTGGAAGCCATGTCAGTTTACAAGGTTGAACTTGAAGTTTTTTGTGGACACTATTTTTACACGCAAAAGACCATAGCTAAAGAAACAGGTTTAGGATTTATTAAAATCTCCTAGGCTGGAAAGACAGTTCACCAGGCTACACATGCTTAATTTGAGTTTCTTCTAACAGGTAAATTTAAAGCCCAGATTTTCCTGCAGGTGAAAACCTTGAATTTTATTAGACACAGTTTAATATCTCAGATCTATAATGCAAGAGGTTTTACAATTGGATCCTGAAACCAGAGGTGTTTTTCCCCCTATTTTGTTTTCTTGCAGTCATCCCTGCTGTTCCTCACTAGACCAAACTTGAAGTTTTTAATCATTTTTTAATTCTCAATACATAAGTAGAATGTGGTATATGATAGCTACTCAGATTATGTTAAGTAAAGGAATCATGTTTTCTTGGGAATTACTGGTCAATTTTTGTTTTCCTGCTAGGACCTCAGCTGGATTTTGATCCTGACATTGTCGCGGCTCTTGATGATGATTTTGACTTTGATAATCCAGACAATCTGCTTGAAGATGATTTTATTCTTCAGGCCAATAAGCCAACAGAAGAAGAGGGAACGGGTATACGGTATGTGTGGTTTCTTTCGAATCAGGGATGACCTGACTATTGCTTCTTCAGTAGGATGTACCTATAGAATGTTATAACTGGAACAGACCTTTGAGAGCATTTAGTGTTAGACTTTTGTATTTTAGAGCAGAAAATGTGAAACTTGAGGTCTTTACAAACCAACAATAGGTGGGGCTAAAGTCCAAGTTGCCTGATTGCTGGTTCATTACTTTTCCAGCCCTACCAGACAGGTCAAGCAGCACAGCTGTTACTGCCTAAACAGGAATCCTCCCTGAAATACCCTCAAATTTTACTTGTGTAAAGTCATTTGGTTCTGTTGTTTCTCAAGTTGTTTTGACAGTTAATTTATGACTCTGACTTAGGAAATCTGAGGCCGAAGATGACAGTGAGTGGGAAGACATGGATGATGAGAAGGAAGGAGGTAGTGATGACGATAACTATGGCTCTGCGGGCTCATCAGATGAGGCCATGTCTGTCCCTGGAAAACCTCCTGGGACTGTAGAAAATCACTTATTCTGGGAAGAGGAGACGAAAAGTCGCTTTACTGAATATTCTATAACATCTTCAGTTATGAGGAGAAATGAGCAGCTGACTCTTCATGATGAGAGATTTGAGAAGGTAAGGTCCCCAAATAGGGGCCTTTTAATACTAGTTCCTGGTAAATTTCATATGACCTTAGAACTCAAAGCCAGAACTTTCGGCATTAGAAAGAGCTTATGTCTTATTAAAACAGACCATAAAACCATTCTAACTTTAGTTCTGGAAAGAATGCATATAGGTCAGAGATGGCTAATGCCATCTCTGGACTTTCCTCAGAGAAGTTTGACATTTTGATTCTGAATTTTTGACTCCAGTCCCCAAGATTATGCTTTTTTCCTCAAGCATTGGTCTGAGCATAAACAAAATTCCATTGCTTTCAGTTTTTTACATGTGTGTCCTCACTGACATATCCCAAGGTCTAACATGGTGTCTGGCATATGATACAAATTCAGACTATTCAGTAAATTCATTCAGTGAATGAATGGTTTCCTTCAAGGTGAATTTGAAAGGTTCTAACTTTGCTACCTTTTCACTAAGTACTAGTAGGCAAACTGTTAGAAATGACTTCACTCTTCAGGAGTCACACACCCCCTGTTTACCCTTAACAGCATTCTAGTAATACAGTAAACATCATCTAAACAAGAATGAAATTTGTACTTATTTTTATTTATTTATTTTTTATTTTTTTAAGTAGGCTCCATGCCCAATCTGGGGCTTGAACTCAACCACCCTGAGATCAAGAGTTGCATGTCCTAACTACTGAGCCAGGCAGGCACCCCTGAAATATGTACATTTAAAGGAGACTGTTCAGTTATATGGTCTTTTACTTTGCATAATTAGTGAATTTGAAAGCATCTGTAAAATATTCTGAGGTAAAGATTTCTACCTAGCTTTGCTTTCCAAGCTGAGCAGAACGATTGTCTTTCATTTTCCTATTAAATGACAGCCTATTTTGGGGGTGCCTGGATGGCTCAGTTGCTTAAGTGTCTGACTCTTAATTTCAACTCAGTCACCATCCCAGGGTTGTGGGCTCAAGCCCCACGTCCTTTGCGTTCAGCAGGGAGTCTGCTTGAGATTCTCTCTCTCCCTCTCTCCCTCACCCTGCTTGCGCTTTTTCTTTAAAATAAATAAATTTTGGGGGGGGCGCCTGGGTGGCTCAGTTGGTTAAGCGACTGCCTTCCGCTCAGGTCCTGATCCCGGGGTCCTGGGATCAAGTCCCACATACGGGCTCCCTGCTTGGCAGGAGGCCTGCTTCTCCCTCTGCCACTCCCCCTGCTTGTGTTACCTCCCTCTCTCGCGCCCTCTCTCTGTCAATTAAATAAATAAATAAAACCTTTAAAAATAAATAATTTTTTTTTTTAAATGGCAGCCTGTTTTCAGGCTAAGTGTAAGTCTTAAAGTACTGGGTAGAATGTCTTCCACATTCTGTTGTCATTGTGCTAATCCCTAATATTATAATGGTATTTATGATCTCAATGGTAGTGCTTAAATATTGTGTAGGATTAAAAATAATGTAAAAAATCAGGGTGCCTGGCTGGCTCAGTTGATGGAGCATGTGACTTGATCTTGTGGTTGGAAATTTGAGTCCCACTTTGGGTGTAGAGATCATTTAAAAAAATCTTAAAGATTAATGTAAAAATAACATTTTAAATGTTATAGTCTTAATACATTATTTTTCATGGCATCTTTTCTCTCTGTATTCAAGTTTTATGAGCAATATAATGATGATGAAATTGGAGCTCTGGATAATGCTGAATTGGAAGGTTCCATTCAAGTAGACAGCAATCGCTTAGAGGAAGTCTTGAATGACTACTACAAAGAGAAGGCAGAGAAGTACGATGACTTTTCCTTGCTTACTTGCTTTTTTGCATTTTTAAATAAAGTCTGTATTTGGACATCTGAATCTAGAAAATTACCCAGTCAGAACCTATATTGAGAAAATGGTATGTCTCGGGACGCCTGGGTGGCTCAGTCTGTTAGGTGGCTGCCTTTGGCTCAGGGAGTCCCCCATCAGCAAGTCCTCCTTGCTCAGCGGGGAGCCTGCTTCTCCCTCTGCCTGCTCTGCCTGCCACTTGCCCTGCTTGTGCTCTCTTTGCTATCTGACAAATAAAAAAATGGTATGTTTTTCCATAAACTTTGACTCACATTTTGATATTAAGGTTCTGAAGCTGTCTGTAACACTGAGTGGGAACCTACTGAGAACCACTTCCTCTATGGCTCTGACCTAAGAGTCATGATGGAAGAGCTAGGGTTAGAGTTGGGGGTGCGAGGTCATATTCCACTTGGAGAATGAGGTGGTGCTTTTAGCCTCTTTGGCTGAAAAGTTAGTCCGACCCCTCATTTTCATCTTTTTAAAATGCCAGGTATTCTGAGAAGTTGATATTTATGGCTCATAGAAAGATAAGAGTCTGTCTCTCCAGCCATATTAGCATAACTTTACAGCCAAATATTTGACAAATCAGCTCAGCATCCATATTGAGGTGATTTTTCTGCAAGAAACTAATGAGGGGTTTACATTTGCTGCAAGGGTCTGGTATTCCATGATCACCATCATTTGCAGATCCTACTAAGACAAGGGGTATGCATTTTGAGTGGATATATGACTACTTTGGAGAGACAGATGGGGTAATGCTTTTTGAGGCTTTGAAAAAAAACCATGTTTTAGGAAAGTTGCCATCTTGTTCAGTGTGTTATAACCCTGCAAAAATCCCTTCTCTGTCAGCAGAATGAATGTCCAAAACCTGCTAGAGGGGAGAGTTGGGGCTGGGGAGAGCTAGGATTTTTTTTAAATGCTCTTGTTTCCATAGCTCTTCCAAGTGCAGTTTTAGTAACAGTATAATAATCGGTGTTTTTTTTTCCCCCTCTTCTGTCTTCATTTTTGAAAACTCAACCACAAGTTGTGTAAAACTGAATACTCTTGAACCCTTCGAGGATCAGGACTTGCTAATGAATGAACTTGATGGGTCTGAGGAGGAAGAGGTTATTACTGTAGTTCTTGAAGAAGCCAAAGAGAAGTGGGATTGTGAATCTATTTGTAGTAAGTATTGTAGTGTCCATTTTACTGCTAAAGGTATGGTAGTAATTTTAAAGTATTGAGTACATCAGTTTGAAAAAGTACATGTTTTGTGAAAATGATTTGGAAAAAGTAATATTCCCATTACTAAGTTGCAAACAATTTAAAAACATTTAGAAGAGAGACCATTGTTATTTTAAACTATGAAAACATCAAAGTTGGGGATATAGTAGGAACTCAGTAATGTTTTGCTGAATTGAAAGTGTACTTATTGGTACATGTTTGTTTTTTTAAAGGTACATACTCAAATTTATATAACCATCCACAGCTTATCAAGTATCAGCCAAAGGTAAGTCCTAGGGTCCTGAGCTATTTGAAGTATGCAATGCAGAAAATGGAAGGTACAGATTATTTTCTCACAGTGGCTGTATCCCTTTGTGGCTGGCAGCCCTATTAGGAAAAGCAACAACAGTGTGTCATTAGTGAACTGTTTTTTAATAGGAATGGGAAATGACCTTAGTATGATTTTATCTTTATTTCAGCCCAAACAAATCCGAATATCTTCTAAAACAGGAATGCCTCTCAATGTCTTACCTAAGAAAGGACTCACAGCAAAACAAGTTGAACGAATGCAGATGATTAATGGCAGTGATTTGCCAAAGGTGTCAACCCAACCTCGATCTAAAAATGAAAGCAAAGAAGATAGAAGAGCAAGAAAACAAGCTATAAAAGAGGAGCGCAAGGTAATGGGAGATGTACAAAGAGCTCGTGGTGGGGGGATGGTCGTGGAAATTTTCTTCTGTAAAATTAGTCTTCATCAATTAAAAATTTGAGTAACCCGAATGTATTCTTACACAGGAACGGAGAGTGGAGAAGAAAGCTAACAAATTAGCCTTCAAACTGGAGAAAAGAAGGCAGGAAAAGGAGCTCTTAAACTTGAAGAAGAACGTTGAGGGGCTAAAGCTATGACGGTAGAACATTTAGGATAAGGTGCCTTCCCCACTGGGGCTCCTCGTTCAGTATTGAACAGGGATCTGCAGAGAGACAAAACTATTTAATCTGCCATTTTTACTGGCAGGTATTTATACCACCAAGTTTTCTCTGCCATCTGTCTTGTAAATATTGTAACATTTTAAAAGTTAATATTATAAGCTTAGAATTTGCTCTGAAATAAATGATTTCACAAATGTGAAATGTTTGGATGAGTTGAAGGAAAATATCTTCATAACATAAATGGAATTGGTGTATTCTTCATTTATTTGTATGATTGTCCCAGCTGTCCTTTGCAGATGTTCTCAAATATGTCTTTGAAACCTTTCCATTCCTTTTCAGGAGTTAAGTGGTTTAATTTGCTGTATGTAGAAAAGTGACCCCATTAAACTCCATTTGAAATGCTAAGTGGTTAAGAGTTTTCCTGAGAAGATTCCACTGGTAGGAACTAAGTTTCCCCCTGCTGTATACAAAGGGCTGTTTCAAAAGGATGGTAAAAATGAATATTTATTAGGATTGTTGGGACTCAATTACTGGATAACTTACTTTTGGAATTTCGGAAGAGTGAAGACAGGAAGCAGAAGCAGAAGTCAAGAAAACGTCCTTGGCTTCAGTGAGTACCTGGCTCAAAATCAGAAATATTTACTTCAGTTTAAACTAAAAAGTTTGTCTTTTCAACATTATTTAATGCTTGGAACCATTCATATTTGATTAAAAGATGTAGTTAAAAATTTTCCTTGTTTTTTGGTGAGGTTTGTTTGGTGTTTGTTTTTTTTCCTGTAAACTTTTTCAAGGCTCAAGCAATGACACCATCACAATTGTTAATTATTTGGTAAACTGTGACTCCCTTGCAACAGACGAGTTGTTAGTGACCCTTGTTCATGTGTCCATGACTAATGTGTTGCTATCTGGACTGTTCTGGGGGGGGAAAAAAACAAAAACTGTGGACACTGTTGGTCTGAGTTGGGAACAGAATGGCAGAGGCAGAACCATTTTTAGCTGGTGAGCTGCATTTGATAACTAAATTATTAGAATGTGTCTTCTATAATTCATTAGAATATGGCTTTTCCAAAGTTGGTGGGTGTTACCTTGTTTGTTTTAAATTGTAAATCTTAGTATTCTAGGAATTTTAGGAGCTATGAAAAACAGTAGCCTTAGGTATTCAACCAACATTGCTACAAAAAACTCAGCTGAAGAGCTTGTCATTATAGAAGTAGAATCTAACTGGGGAGTATATATTTTAATGCTGATTTGCAGATGCCAAGTGTCAGATGATGGTTTATGTTAGTATTGTGAATATATTAAATCCTAAGAAGATTGACCATTTATTTCGGTAGCTATCTCAATTGAAGGTTCTTAAAACCAGCGAGAATCTTAAAGACTTGGAATATTATTTTGACTTGATGCTATTCAAATTCCTTCTTAGGAGCTTCTAATATCACTTCACCTATCCAAAGGGTTTAAATCAGCACATTATATATTTTGCAGTCAAGGAAAGGTGACTCTTAAGTCATTAGTCTTACTGAAAGCATTGTGATTTAGGCTGATTAGCCTCCAGATTTAAAGATCTTAATTTTATTCTGGAGAGCAAACCTTACATATTCTGAATTATTTTGTAGAATTTTAGAATATTTACGATTTGAGTTGTCTCTTAACAGTGGTTAGGAACTTAACATAAGGTCCTAGCAAATGTTGGAAATCCAGAGCAGCAAGGGGGTTTTTGCCTTCAAGGACTGCATCTTTTGAGGAGGCAGGGTGTGTGCAGCAAAATCTAACTAGCAACACCAAGTCACTGATAAGTCCCACTTGAAATGAGGGTCTTGGTACCTGCTTTTCCCCCTGAAGTGCTCTTACTGCAAATAAAGCTTCCTCAAGGTTGGTGTTTAGTTGTCACCTCCACTGTAAATTTTCAGCTGACTGTGTAAAGATAGCAAAATACCTCCTTTGCATTTTTTAAGCTTCTTCCCTGCTTTATGGTCTCCATGGCATCTCTTGGTATCTGAGCTGTATCTTGTTGTTCAGTCTCCTCTCAGTAGAACAAACTGAGGGCAGGGAATTTTTATTTACTACTTTATCCCCATGGCCTAGAACAGCTCCTGGCATTTGGTAAATGATCACTAGGTAGTATATAAATGAATTCATAGGGAAGAGATTTCACCAAAGGAATTGCTTAAACTTGGAACAATAGGACCTAGAATCAATATTAGCTAGGAGAAAGAAGGCCTAAGGCATCCCAGGTAGGGGCAAAGTCATGAAGAATTTGCCTGCTGTGCCTTAAGCACCTCTTTTGTATGAGAACTTAATGCTTGTTAGAAAATCACTTTTTTAGATATTTTAGAGCTGTTTTTTTATAAGTCTTAAGTATCAAAAGCTATCACTATTTGTGTATGTTAACTGTGGTCCATTGTATTCACACCTCCATTGTGACATCATCAAATGATCTCAGGTGAAAGACAACTCCAGCCATCTTGTAGCTTTACAGTTACATTATCAGTACATTTATGTTGCTTTTTCCTGTGTGTTAGTATGTCTTATCAAGCTTGTTATAGTGAAGGGTCAGGAGAAGGTAAACACTGTAATGGCACGTTTTGTTAAACTTTTATGAGAATGTATAATAAAACAAAAACATTGCACTATTCAGGTTAAGAAATAGAACACAGAAGCCACCTGTGGTTCCATCCTCAATTTCATTCCACTCTTTCCCCTCAGTAACTCTTAAGTATTATCTAGGTTATATTAATCATCAGCTGTATGGTATTCCTTTTTTTTTTAATTAACATATAACGTATTATTTGTTTCAGGGGTACAGGTCTGCGGTTCATCAGTTTTCCACAACACACAGTGCTCACTATAATACATACCCTCCCCAGTGCCACCCCATCCCTCCACAACTCTCAGTTTGTATGGTATTCCTAGGCACAATATCTTGTTTAGTTTTGAAACACAAATCTGGCTTTATAAGGGCAATATTTACTACCAGTTGATGAAGGCATCCTTGAGCTGAATAGTCTCTGAGCCTGAGTTTAGCTTCTAGAATTTACAAGAGCCCCAAGAGATGTTGTTGAGCTAGGTGATTGAGTCCTAGGGAACACAAGTGACCACAGCTGCAGCATCCTGGATCTCCTGTAGAAATATGTTTAGTGGTTATATGGTCATTTTACATTTTCTGCTTTCTGAGGTCATCATGATCTCAAGATCAATGCAAAACCTTCTTGTGGAGTGAAAGGAGTGTCCTCCACTCATCTGGATGTCAGAATATGAAGGGAAAAACAAGCACTCCAGTGGGACAGGGTCAAACAAGCCAAGTATAGAACAGTGGGAGCCAGATACTAGGACATACTAACCTCAGATTACAAAGGCAATGAATATCATGCTCATGACAGACTTCAACATGTCTGTTTTTCATATATCTTCAGTATGGACTAGTTGCTCTCTGGTTCTGGTTCCCAGCTGTTATCCTGGGAATTACTTTCTCTCCCTCATGTGTTGAATTTCCTATTTGCTGTATGTTTTACTCAACGTTGTCCTGAAGCAGATCCTCTAGTAATTGTTGAGATGGTGTGTGGGATGTCAACTTTTTCAAATCCTGCATGTTGAGAAATTTACCCAACCCCCATATTTGATCAATAGTTTGGCTGGGTATGAAACTATAGGTTGTAGATTATTCTCCCTCAGAAGTTTAAAGGATTTTTCCTCATTCATTTCCAAGTTTCCTGTATGGGAACCTGAAGTCATTGTAATTCCTGATATTTTTGTCAAGTATTTTTTTTCATCTTGGTAGAATCTGTTTCCCGAGTTCTGAAATTTCACAATGATGTTATAGATAGATTTTCATCCATTGTGCTGTGTCTTTTCAATGGAAGCTCCTGTCCTTTCACTTCTGGAAATCGTTAAAATTTTTTATTTTCTGCCTTGGGTTTACTCCTTTTCTCTCTTGAACTGTTACTTGGAGTAGGACCTTCTGGACCAGAGAGAGGTACTTGAATTGCTTATGTTTTTCTTCTCCCATCTTTCTGCCATTTTACTCTACTTTCTGAGAAATTTCCCTAATTTTATCTTCCAATCTTTCTTGAGTTTTTCATTTCTTCTATAAGGCTTTTAATTTCTAAGAGTTTAATTTTTCTTTAAATTGCTTTTTTATTTGTTTTGGGCTTACATGCTACAGTTTTTCCACAGATCTTTGGAAATTCCTGTCTGTTGGCTCATGACTAAGACTGGAGGAAGGAGACACTGGAAATTCTGAATGGATAAGCGGCATTTTATGATTTTGAGCTTTATTGTAGAGTGGTCTGGGTGAGCTGTTTGGGAATCTTCCCAGTGTTGATATCTACAGATATATTTTGTCACGGAATGGTTAGGTTCTCAGGGAAGTTTCCATTCTGTCTTGAGAGTAAGGGTCTGGCAGAGTTCTGTGAGCCACGTAGAGGAAGGGGGTTTGAGGTGTATTCTCTGCTTTCAGCATCACTCTTCATGAGAGGAATCACCAGATTAATCAGTATATTTACATACACACACATGCCAGCAACTTCATTACTCAAGTTCTTATTTGCAAATTTGCCTATTTGCTAAAATTTGAAACTCTAAAATACACATGGGGTTTTCATGGTCATTCACAGACCTGCACATAGCAGTTAAAAGGTCGAGTCACCCGACGTGCATGTTCTCAGCAGAAGTGGAACAGGGTGATGCTCTCTCTGCCTTCTTGTTTCAGCTCTCATACTGTAAACAAGTGTTCTTTTCACAGTCTGTGCCACATTTTTCGTGTTTTCACAATTTTTCTTGGTGATTTCACTGTTTAAAATGGCCCTTAAATGTTGTGTTGAAATGCAGGAAGGCTGTGATGTGCCTTATGGAGGAAATATGTCTGTTAGATAAGCTTCATCCAGGCATGAGTTACAGTGTTGCCCACTATGAGTGTTCACTGTTACTGAATCAACAATATATATTTATGCAAGGTGTCTTTAAATAGAAAAACAAAACAAGGTTGTACATTGATAGGTTGATAAAAATAGTGTGACCAGAGACTCACAGGAGCCTAATCCTATATTCCCCCTAGAAGTATTAAGTCAGTATTTGTTCATTCAGTGCTCACAGTGCCTTTATGGAATACAACTACTACAAATCATGAGTCAACCATAAATATGTGTATACATCTATATCTGCCTACCCATGCCTTCAGCAGTGCCTCATGCATAGGCCTCTGTCATTTTTGGAGAGTAGACTTATGCTAGAGTTGGAGAGGGCAGTCACCCAGGGGGTGTAGAGTGAGGGAGGGGATCTAGGAATCAACTTCTTTTCAGAAAACTTTCATCTTGGCCCTCCATATTTTAGCACGCACTTCCGCATTTATCTCATCCCAGTCCCAGAGGTGTATGCTGCTCTGGGGATTCCTGTGACTTTGAAGGGTTTGAGATAAAAAAAATCGATGGTTGGTTCTCCCTACTGTCAGCTTGGTAAGTGGATTCTGATGTAGTTTTAAGTCCTCCAAGTCACTTACCATGTCTGTCAGTTGAGTCAAATTTTTTTTATTGTCATCGTCTTTCCTGCCTGATCTTGTGGATTCTCTTTGTCTCTATTTTCCTTTACTGTAGTTTTTTGGGGCTTTGGTGGAAAGCAAAATTTGATGGAGTGTTCTCTCTGCCATCCTTAACTCCTTTTCTTCTTTCATAACTCACGTTCCTGAGGTAAGTGAGTAAGTTGAGGCCAATATGCTCCCCCCTTTACCATAGGGCCATGGAAGATGTCGATGTTGCTAATGTTTGTATGTTCTGGATTGCAAAGGACTTAAGAGTTCTTTGACTTGCTGACGACTGAATGAGAAAATGTCTTCCTTTTGTCCTCTCTACCATGCCTTTATAAGGAAATGTGGGTTGGTAGGTGTGTGTACAAAGCAGTCTTAACTTCCAGCTCAGAAAGTGAATGTCTAGTCAGAAGTAGAATTTTTTCCAATTTCATTATAGCCATAATCCTCTCCAGGCTGCTTATAAAATTTTTGAACTGAGATCTTTGTAATGCTTATTTTTCACTGTTAACATGCTAAACAAAACTTTTGATGGCTTCCAGATCACTTTCTTTCCCTCATTTAAAAAAAATTGTCTAAGATTTTTAAACCAAAGTGTAAAAATAATAGCCAATGTATAAAAATAATGGCCACTTTAATAGTCTACTAAGAGAGGGTAAAGATAGAAATAGCTAAGTTGATACTGATTGTTTTAGCATCTTTTCTATCAAACTGTTCTTTTTTAAAATGTCATTGTTTTAATTCTTAAAACGATAATCTTTGTAGAAAAATTGAAAATGCAGGAAACTAATCACCTTTACTCTTAATCGCTGTGTGTATTGTATGTACACACACACACACACGTACATATCTATATAACTCCTAGTCTTTATGTGTATAAAAATGTGTCACTAACATTTTCCATGTTTTTCTCCTGCAAATTCTTTTTAATCACTACATTCTCATTCACTGGTTGGCAACCTATTTCTTAGTATGATTTTTGGCTTTGCAGGCCATATGGTCTCTGTTAACTACTCAACTCTACTGTTGTAATGTGAAAGCAGCAATAGACGTGTAAACAAATGGGTATTATTTGCCAATAAAACTTTATTTACAAAAACATACAGCTTCAGATTTGACCTGCTGGTCACAATTTGCTCACCCCAGGTATTTCTTTAAACTTCTTATTTTGACAAAATTAGTGCATGAGAATTGCAAAATAGTAGAGTTCCCACTCACCTTTTACCCAGTTTCCCCAACTTAAGTTACAGCTTAAATAACTAGTACAATATCAAACCCAGGAAACATATACATGGGTACAATGTGTACCATTTTATTACATGTGTAACCACCACTCACCACCACAATATGGTTCTAGAACTATTCCTTTTCCTCTCCCCACCCCCGACCCTGATTTTATTTTTAAGGAATCTCTACATCCAACATAGGGCTCGAAGTTACAGCCCTGAGACCAAGAGCCCTATGCTCTATCAGCTGAGCCAGTTAGGTGCCCCCAGAACTATTCCACTACTCAAACTATTCCACCCTCATTCTACTCTGTATGGTCACAACCATCTCCCTCCGCGACCATCCCTCCCTGTTGGCAATCACTAATCTATTCTCCATCTCCAATTTTGTCATTTTGAGATTGTTCTACAAATGGAATCTTACAATACATGACCTTTTGAGATTGGGTTTTCTCAGCATTGAGATCCATCCAGGTGTTGCATGTATCAATAGTGTTCTGTTGTTGAACCAGTATTCCAGGGTTTGGATGTAACTGTATAACCATTCACCTGTTGCAAGGCATTTTGGTTGTTTTAAATGATTCTTCTTAAGGTTCTAGCGATCACATATTCCATGTGACTCAGCATTCTGTCACAAACACGATAGACCTTGATCTCCATGTTTAATTCGACTGAGTAACTCTGGCAGGTGCTCCCTTCCTTATAGTCAAGCTTCAGAACTGAAAGTGGTTCAGAAAGTGGTGGTCCATTGATTTCAGGTGTTCAGTTGAATCCTATTGTATCTGTCATTCTTTGAAACTCATTGAGCTAATTAAAACTCACTGATTTAAATCAGAGGCTATTTATCCTTCAGGGACTTCCATTTGTTTTGCAGGTTAGTACCAGCATAACCTATATTTATGGTGATGGTTGAATATAGTTTTAATACTTGTGGAGATAGAGACCTAGGTTTGAGTCTCCATGTTACCTTTTAACCACCTGTGGTCTTTGAGAAGTCCCCTAACTTTGAACCTTTGTTTTCTTGTTAAAAAAAAAAAAATCCCAACTCTGTGAGGAGTAAATGAGATTATTGTACGAAAAGTGTTTAGGAAACAGGAAAATACCATACAAACGTTACAGTACCATTCGTAAAAATAAAAATCATCTTCCATTAGTGGTTTAGGAAAAGCAGTTTTATTATTAAAATGAGTCCTTTTATTAACTCTCGTAAGTATATGCTTGCTGAAAAAAAAATAATTTAAGACTCCGTTTTACAGAGTTAGAAGGCCAAAAGAACAGAGAAGAAGAGTAATATTTCTGTATGCTGTAATGGATGACCTGTGTTGCAAATACAATACCATCTGGCAGATGTGAGAAGAAATCATTTAAATCAACAATGTCTGTAATGAGCTACCATCTGATTCCTGTTAATCAGTCCTTCCTTTTTCAAACTGTCTTCTCTTGGTTTCCATGACCTTGTTCTCTCCTGTTTCTCCTTCTGGCTTATCATCCTCATCTTCTTGGCCCTTAAATACGGAGTTCCCTAGGGATCATCCCTGTACTTCTCTTTCCATGACCTCTTCCCTGGCAATATCATGCCTTTACATCACTCTCCAAACAAAGCCTACATCTGTGTCTCTAGGCCTGACCTCCCTCATTTCCATCCTGCTGGCTGGATGACTCTCTCAAACTCAGTATTTCCAAAGCTGAGGTCATTTTTCTTGCTAAGATGGCCCTTCTTCTCAAATTTTGTTTCTGTCCACAGCCCGACCCTCCTCTCAGTCCTGCACTGTTCTCTTTGTCACCTCACTCCTACATCTAGTCATGTTGTCAATTCCTTGAGCACAGTGTCTCTCGTTTCATCTTTTCTTTCCATTTCGGGCGTACACCTTTAGCTTTTTAACTGAAATAGCATCTTCCCTCCCCACTACCATCCATGCAGCCGTCCACAGCTCTGTTCAGATTCTTCCTACTCAGTGTCCCTGATTGTTGCCCTTGTTTGTAGAATAAAGCCCAGATTATTAGTCTAATATAACGTCATCTCCAAAATCAGCTTTTCTAATCCATATGCTCAACTCCAGATGAACTTAAAGTAATAAGGTGAAACCTTTACAGAATTCCACAATGTTTTCCTTTCCTTGTGACACTTAACTTCATTTAATGGCATACTCTCTCTCCTTTTCTCTGCTGGACCCATGTATGGTTTCTCTCAATATTTCCACAGAGTTGCATGTAGCAAATAGTTATAAAATGAAGTATTGGTCCTAAGGTAGGAACTCGGTGTTTGGCCCACACATTCAACAAGTATTTTATTGTGCACACCTTACTATGGGTCAGGTACTTTGAGACATGGGGCACATGTGGGTACAGTCTCAGCCTCTTTTTTTTTTAAATTGACTTTATTCTTCATTTAACTTTTAAAAACACTAGTTGAATATTAAAAACAATAGCAAATAGTGACCTTATTGTGATTACAGTCCCTCACTCATTCACTACTGCATATAAAATGCTAGCAGTGAGTGTTATTCACTGACCTCATTAAGAAGTTGGACCAAACACCCCTCCTTAGGATGTTGCTCATCCTCCCATCCTTCTGCATTGTAATGGTGCCATCTTTCCTGATTTGGATAGAAGTCCCATTAGTTCTACCTGGTCCCTTTCATCAGTATCTTATACTCCCTTCCTCTCAGGTAGGAGTTTTTCCAGCAAAGAGCATTTATTGAGAGAGTGCCATTCTCAGGAAATTTTAAATTTGATGATTAGGTGACTCTTTTCATATGATCTGTGATAAACTGTCACACCTTCATTTAGCACACACATAGGCCTTACATCCTAGTAGGAATCTTAAAAATGTTACCATTAGATAATTTATGACTTTATACTAAAGTATTAACTTTGCATTTATGTCTAAAGCAAAGCTATTAGGCACTTAGTTTAGGAATATGTTAAAGAATTGTACTCTGGTTGCCTGAAGGACATGGAATTTACCTGTTTAGTGAAGTGAGAAGTCTATATTAGAAAAAGAAGATGGATGAGTTCATGAAGTGTCTTCCTAAGAGAAGGAAGCTGGTGGGGAGGGAAAGGAGAGTGAGGCGATCAAGCTATCGAGGTCCCCTCCAGTTAGTCATTTCTTCTCAGGCAGGCAGTTCCACGAAGCTAACATCATGTGCTTTTGGATCTTATACAGATGGCAATCAGGAGTTACTTCCCTGTGAAGTCTGTGGAAGACGCTTTGCAGCAGATGTTCTGGTAAACATAAAGACATTTTGTAGATGTGTTTCGCTGGAGTTAAATGAACTGTCGAGTCAGTGAGGAGGCTGCAGCGGCAAAGATTAAAGACAGATGTGGAGGGAAAGCAAGGGAAGAGAGGTCCATACCCTATGGCTGGCAGGTCCGGAGGACACCGAGGCACATAGATGCCACCCCATTCAAGAGGGAGCTTAATTAACCATGGTACTTTTAGAAAAAGGATGCCAGATGAAAGTGTTTTGGCACAGCTGATTGTCTCTTGAGAGGTTTTGGCTCTTTTGCCTTTTCTATAAGCATCAAAAATTCAAATTTTAAGGCCAAAGCACCAGGGAAATTAGCTAGTCAAGAGGAATGAACATTGAATTTGGAGCATCTGGAAACTTGGCTTTTAGCCTCAAATTTGTCACTAATTCTGACAAGTCCTTTAACCTCCCTCTGTTTCCTGCTTTGCCACGTATAAAGACAGAACCTTTCAATTTCAGGGATTTTATGTAATTTGAACAAAATGGATGTAAGGCCTGTTCCAAGATCTAATTGTTAATCAGATTCAAACTAACTGCATGTCAAGGCCCCTGATTGATGCCTATAAAGTGGAATAAAAGCTTAATGTCAAAATTAGGGAATCAAACAGGTATTAGATTCCAATATTATAAAGAGATTCCCAAGAAAAATGTTAAAAAAAAAAAAAAACTTGAGGTGATAATGCAACTCCGAGTTTGAACATTTTAGATCAAGGAGATGTAACCAAACTTAAAGGATTTAGACCATCCACCTGACTGCGTTTGGGGTAAAAGACTGTACAATGAGGTTGTAGGTTTTCTTTCTCTGGGGAATTTTAAAAATGAAATATCTGTTCTAGTTAACTATAGCTAGAACTTCTGAACTTAGAAGCAGGACCTCCAGGGCCTATTATGGCCCAGGAATCCACCAGTGTGTTCCTTTTGCCAAGCCAGGCCTACACCCCATAAGAATGAGTTTGAGACCTAGAAGGTACCATCCATTTGGGGATCACTAAATGTCATCCCCAATGTGTTGGGTCCTCTTGGGTTTTAATCTAGGCCTATCTCTAGGCTACAAAGAGCATTTGATCAAGTGATATGATCTCTCTCTCTAATTTAAAATGGTATGGCTTGGGGCTCCTGGGTGGCTCAGTGTTTTGAGTGTCCTGACTCTTGATTTCAGCTCAGGTCATGATCTCAGGGTCCTGGGACGGAACCCCACATTGGGCTCCGCACTCAGTGGGGAGTCTGCTGGAGATTCTTTCTCTCCCTCCCCCCCTCCCCTCCTGTCTTTCTTTTTCTCTCCCTAAAATAAATAAATAAATCTTTAAAAATAAAATAAAATGGTATGGCTTGTTTGTAACAAAGTGCAGGGATTTTTATAGAGCCCTGTATTTTGTTGGACGAAGGAACTGTGTGTTAGCTATTATGAGTTACATATCCACCAAGGAAGAGGACATTTAGTTGGAAGTTGTTGGTGTAATCCTATAGTGGTGCTGTAACGGACTTTGTAAGGGTGGTACACAGGCAGAGCTCTCTGTGTTGATTCCCTGTCTTATGTACTAGAAATGCTGAGTACTTAAAGGATTACTTGGCTGGAGTAAAGAATGTTTTCCCTGCCGATCATCTGTTAAATGTTAAATATTGTAACATTGTAAAACTTAATATTGAATGCTTAGATTTGCTCTGAAATAAATGACTTCATGGATGTGAAATGTTTGGATAAATTAAAGGAAAATATCTTCATAATGTAAATGGAATTGGTGTATCCTTCATTTATTTGTATGGTTGTCCCAGTTGTCTTTTGCAGATGTTCTCAAATATTTCTTTGAAACCTCTCCACTTCTTGAGGAAGTTAAGTAGTTTAATTTGCTGTATGTAGAAAAGTGACCCCATTAAATTCAATTTTGAAATTGCTGAGTGGTAAGAAGAGTTTTCCTGAGAAGGTTGCACTGGTAGGAACTAAGTTTCTCCCTGCTGTATGCAAAGGACTGTTTCAAAAGGATGGCAAAACTGAGTATTAGGATTGTTGGGACTCAGATTCTCTGGTAGGTTACTGGATGGCTTGCTCATGGAATTTGGGAATCGTGGACACAGGGAACAGAACAGAAGACATAATCAGGAGAACTTTCTTGGCTTCAGTGAGTACCTAGCTCAATATCAGAAATATTTATTTCAATTTAAACTAGAAAGTTTGCCTTTTCAACATTATTTAATGCCTGGAACCACTCACACAGCCCAAGTGGTAGAATTCAATATATAAAACCAAATTCGAAGTAAGTCTCTGTAGCTGCAGAGGCCTCTTCTTGACCTTACCCTCACGCAATATCTAGTGATGTGTAACAAGGGTGGAGAGAGCCAGATGGATTTGTTCTGCTGTGCTTTGAGAGTTGGAGAATGAACTTGGCTCTGAAGGTGAACCCTGTCACTCCAGTGGGGGCTGCCTGAGTACAAACCTTGTGACTGTACATGTTAAAAATTTTAATCCCCACTGTTTCTTTTCTAGGAAAGGCATGGACCAATATGTAGAAAACTCTTCAACAAAAAACGTAAACCTTTCAATTCCTTGAAACAAAGATTACAGGGCACTGACATTCCCATTGTGAGAAAGGCTCCTCAATCCAAGGTACTATCAATATCTTGTTTACTGTTCTTGATTACATCCTTAAGTATATTAAAGCCTCTTTTTGGCTCTCTGGTTTCATTTTTGCTTGATAGTGCAGTGTAATGTCATGTAAGTATAATCCACCTTTACTGTTTTCTTTTTAATCATGCTCACTTAGATTTCGAAATGTATTTCAGATATTTTCCAGATGTGGCAAAAAAAGAATCTCGTTTATGCTTTCATTAGTCTAGCATTAAATCTAGCAATTAACTTGGAAGAGAATCCTTTTTAATCTTAAATTTAAGTCTTTCTTTAAAGTTTTGTAGCTCGTTTTTCTGATGGTTATTTTGTGTTTTCCCTCACTGCAGTGGCTTGCAAATTTTATTACTGTATTTTCCAAACCTCTTTTTTTGTACTTTTGAAAACAAATTCTCTTTTCCCTCAAAATTTCAGTCCTTTTTCCTATAAATTTAAATCTCAGGTTAAAATAGCAAATAATCTTAAAATAAAATAAAATAGCAGTGGAGAGATGTACAGTCTAGGTTAGTATATATTGGTTTTGTCTTTTATAGCCTCAACCTGTGAGGAGATCTAACTGGAGACAACAACATGAAGACTTCATTAATGCCATCCGATCGGCAAAACAGTGTACACTAGCCATTAAAGAAGGCCGACCTCTCCCACCTCCACCTCCTCCATCCATCAGCCCAGGTGTGTGGCCAGTTTGGTTTGCTTTTGGCATTTTACTCTTAACCAATTGTGCTTGATTTGGGGCCAAATCATCATGACTTGCTTCCTCCTATGCATTCTAAAATAAATAATAGCAATTAAATTATATAAAAGTAATTTTATCATACAATATATCTTATCCTAATTTCTTTTTAATTCTGCATAAAGATTCTGTGTTTTCTTCTAACTCCATGAGAACACCACTGTACCCAGTGTCATGGCCTTTCACATCATGGTGTATGAGAATGAGGCTGTGCAGGGTAGTTCCACGGTAGCTCCACAGTGTCAGATACCCATAGCTCTGGGTTATTTTGGGGGTGGGGGTTTGGTTTTGAGATAAAAATCCCATGATATAAAATTCACCATTTTAGCCATTTTAAGTTGTGTAGTTTCGTGGAAACCTAAAGGTTTCTTACCCTAAACTTTTTATTTAGAAAGTTTTCAAGTTTACAGAAAAGAGGAAGAAGTAGTACAGTGATCACTCATACCTTCCACTGAAATTTGGCAGTTGTTGACGTCATATTCTCTGTCCTTTTATTTGGCGGGGGGGGCAGAACTATTTAAAACTGAGTTTCAAATACCGTAACACTTTAACCCTTAACTATGTCAGTGTGCATTTCTTAAGGATGAGTGCATTCCCTTGCATAACATATAGACTTATATTTTCCCAGTTATCTTAAGAATGTCTTTTAAAGCTCTCTGCTTGCCCCCTAGTCACAATCTAGGATTCAGTCAGGGTTCATGCATTTTTGTTGTTGTCTCTTTTCTTTAATCTTGCACAACACCCCTATCAGGCCAATTATCTTTTAGAATACTTCTTTTGCTAGATATGTCTGTTTTTTAACTCAGGTTAATGTTTAACTTGTTCCTCTATCCTGTTTTTTTTGTAAATTGGAAATTAGGGCTAGAGACTCTATTAGATTAATAATAATATTAATCCCTATCAGATATAAGATCTTCAAATATTTTCTCCCATTTTGTGGACTATCTTTTCACTTTCTTGATGGTATCTTTTGATGCATAAAAATTTTTAATTTTGAAGAAGTCCAGTTTATTTTATTTTTCTTTTGTTGCCTAGTGTTTGGTGTTAAATCCAAAAAATCAGTGCAAAATCCATGTCATGAAGCCTTTCCCGTATGCTTTCTTCTAAGAGTTTTATAGTTTTAGCTCTTACGGTTTTCTCTTTGATCCAGGTGGAGTTAATTCTGTATGTGGTATAAGGTACGATCCCAACTACTTTGGAAGGTGGATATCTAGTTTTACATGTGGATATCTAGTTTTCTCAGCACTATTTGTTGAAAAGACTGTCCTTTCCCCATTGAATGATCTTGGCACCATTATCAAAAGTCAGTCGATTGACTATATATATGAAGGTTTATTTCTGGGCTGTCTGTTCTAGTCTATTTCCCTTATGCCAGTACCACCTATTTTGATTAATAAATTTGTAGTAAGTTTTGAAAGTTTTCCAAGATTGTTTTGGTTATTTGGGGACCTTTGAGACCTCATATGAATTTTTAGGATGATTTTCTATTTGTGAAAATGCCATTGGAATTTTGATAGGGGTCGCATTAAATCTGTACATAGACTTGGGTAGTTTTGTCATCTTAACAATATTGTTTTCCAGTCTATGAACATAGGATGTCTTTTAATTTATTTATCTTCTCTTTAATTTCTGTAATGAATATTTCATTGAATAGGTGTAGGAATATACAAGTCTTTTACCACCTTGGTTAGATTTATTCCTAAGTATTTTACTCTTTTTGATGTTATTGTAAATGGAAATGTTAACTTTGTTTTCAGGCTGTTCATTGCTAGTATATAGAAATATGACCGGCTTTTGTGTATTTTGTATCCTGCAACTTTGTTGAATTTTGTTAGCTCTAACAGTTGTTTTTTGGTGTGGAATTTTTAGGGTTTTCTACGTATAAAATTATGTCACTTGTAAACAGACATAATTTTTCTTCTTCTCTAATTTGTCTGTCTTTTATTTCTTTTTCATGTCTAAGTCCTCTTGCTAGAATTTCCAATACTATATTGGATAGCAGTGGTGAAAGCAGACATCCTTGTCTTGTTTTCCACTGAGTAAATATTATCTGAGGGTTATTTAAAGCATAAATAATAGCATTTTATGAGGATTATGATGTGGAAGTAAAATGTATGAAGACAATACAAGTTTAAGGAACTGGACATACATTGTTGAAAGATTTTGTCTACATGAATAAGTGTAGTACTCATTAAACATGAATAGGTATAGTATTTGAAGGTAGATTTGTATATCTTAATGATCCCTATTTTATTTTTTTTAAGATTTTTATTTATTTATTTGGCAGAGAGAGAGTGTGAACATGAGCATGAGCAGGGGGAGTGGCAGGCAGAGAGAGAAGCAGGCTCCCCACTGAGCAGGGAGCCCGATGCGGGGCTTGATCCCAGGACCTTAGGATCATGACCTGAGCTGAAGGCAGACGCTTAACCGACTGAGCCACCCAGGTGCCCCATCAAAGATGCCTATTTTATTTTTATTTATTTATTTTTAAAGATTTTATTTATTTATTTGACAGAGAGAGACACAGCGAGAGAGGGAACACAAGCAGGGGGAGTGGGAGAGGGAGAAGCAGGCTTCCCGTGGAGCAGGGAGCCCGATGCGGGGCTTGATCCCAGGACCCTGGGATCATGACCTGAGCCAAAGGCAGACGCTTAAATGACTGAGCCACCCAGGCGCCCCTAAAGATGCCTATTTTAAACTCTAGAGTAAACACACAAAAATATTGACATGTAGCTAATAACACAGTAAGTGGAGTAGAGCTAAAATGAAAAAAAGAAATTCAGTCTAAGAGAAGATAGGAAAAGAGGGGGGAAAAAAACAAAGGAAAGGTGGGATAAAGACAAAGCAAGATGGTAAACTTAAACCTAACCATATGGACAGTTGCATATAAATGACCTAAACCCTTCAGATAAAAGGCAGATTATCAGACTAAATAATAAAGGAAGGTCCAATTATATACTTTCCCCAAGAAACACACTTTAAATATGAAGACACAAATAAGTGTGCCAGTCAGGTGACAAAACAAGGAGGCGAGGCAGGTAGGCCTAAAGCAGTGACACCCTCATTGAGGGACAGGTGTTCTGCACTAGCAGGGCTCCTGCCTCAAAGGAACACACTGCCGGATCTAATTTCTCAAAGGATGGCAAAAACTGCAGATTTCCTGATTTCTAACTATCAGAAACTCAGTTTTTTAGAAACTTCGGGTTTGAATCTCTGAGGTTGGAAGTCAGGCAGTGGTTTTCCTTGGAGGGATGGGGATGACCAGGAGTGGGCATGAGGAGCATTGCTAGGAGTGTTCCGTGTCTTGATCTGGGCTGGTTACATGGGTGTGTGCAACTTATAAATTATATTTCATGGAGACCTACGCTTAGGATTTGTGCCTTTTCTCTTGGATAAAAAGGTAAAAGAAATAAACACCAGCAGTGTCAAAACAACTGTAGACTGGCATGTGAAAAGCATGGGGAACGATATGTATGCAAACAGTCATAAAACTAGAGTGACTAATATTAGTATCAGTCAAAGCAAACATCAGTGTTATTAACAAGGGTAATGATTAAAAATACATTCATCAGGAAGGCTTATCAGTCCCTAAATGTTTATGTACCTAATAACAGCTTTAAAGAACATGAAACAAAAACTGGGAGGAGAAGTAGAAAGATTCACAATTATATTTGGAGATTTTATCGTTCCTTTCTTAGTAGCTGATAAAATAAGCAGCAGGAAAATCACTAGGGATATAGAAAATTTGAACAACAGTATCAACCAGTTTGACCTAATTGAGATCTATTGCTATAATGTGACATGCAGCAACAGCAGAATATAATTCTTTTTATTTTATTTTATTTTTTAAGATTTTATTTGTTTATTTGACAGAGAGAGAGAGATAGCGAGAGCAGGAACACAAACAGGGGGAGTGAGAGAGGGAGAAGCAGGCCTCCTGCTGAGCAGGGAGCCTGATGCGGGGCTCGATCCCAGGGCCCTGGGATCATGACCTGAGCCGAAGGCAGACGCTTAACGACTGAGCCACCCAGGCGCCCCAATATAATTCTTTTTAATTACACATGGAGCATTCATCCAAGATAGACCATGTGCAAGACCACAAAGTGAGTCTCAATAAATCATTGAAATCATACAGATTATGTTATTTGACACAGTAGAATTAAGTTAGAAGTTAATGATGAAAAAAAAAAGATAATGATGAAAACACCTAGAAAATTTCCTAATATTTGGAAATTATTCACCTCATTTCTAAATAATGCAGGGATTTAAGAAGAAATCATAAAAGAAATTAGTAATTATTTTGAACTGAGTGGCAATGAAAAACACATCAAAATTTGTGGGATTCAGCTAAAACTGTCTAGAGGGAGTTTTATAGCTTTAAATTCTCAAATTAGAAAAGAAGAAAGGTTTAAACCAATTATTCTTCCTCTTTAAAAAGTTAGAAGAACAAATTATACCTAAATTAAGTAGAAGGAAGAAAATAGTAAATGTAGTTCACCATATTAACAAAATATTTTTAAAAGCAGATGATCATCCCAGTAGATACAGGAAAAGCCTGTGACAAAATACAGCACCCATACATGTTTAAAAAAGAAAACTCTTAGGTAGAAAAAGACGGGAACACCTCAATAAAGGACATCTTTGAACAATCTATCGCTAACATTACACTTGATGAAAAACTGAGCACTTTTCCACTGAGATCACGAAAAAGCAAGGATGTCCTTTCTGACCACTTCTGTTCAACTCTATACTGGAGATAAAGTACCCAGGGTAATAAAGAAATAAATTATCAGAGAGGAAGAAGTAAAACTGTCTTTATTCACAGATAACATAAAGTCATGAATAAGTATAGAAAATCTTAGTAAACTGTAAGAAAGCTACTGGAATTAAAAGTTCATTTAACATACTTTCAGGATATAAAGACAAGGGGCGCCTGGAT